CCCTGACTCTCGGCACCCCCCACACCCATACCCCAGTCCCCCCCCACCCTGACACCTGCACACCCTCACATGCCCTGAGCCCTCTGCCCTGACTCTTGCATCCCCCGACATACCCAGCCCCCCCACACCCCATGCATCCCCCCCCACATCCCCCTGAGCACCAAATGGGAGCTCCTGCACCCCCCCCCCACATTCCCACCTGCACCCCTCGCACCAAATGGGAGCTGCTCAGGTAAGTGCCCCACACCCAAACCTCCTGCCCCAACCCTGAGCCCCCTCCCACATTCTAGCTCCTGGCCAGACCCTTCACCCCCAGCCCTGTGCTCAGTGCACTCCCACCCTCAGCTCAGTGCAAAGAGAGGAAGAGAATGGGCCAGAACCAGGGAGAAGGTAGGTACCCAGTGTATGTGGGCAGATCAACATTTTAATTTAATTTTAAATGAAGCTTCTTAAACATTTTGAAAACCTTGTTTATTTTACAATACAACACTATAGACTTATAGAGAGAGACCTTCTAAAAAACATTAAAATGTATTACCGGCGCAAAACCTTAAATTAAAGTGAATAAATGAAGACTCGGCACACCACTTCTGAAAGGTTGCCAACCCCTGATCTAAAGTATATCTAAGTATAATCTAAAGTTCTCCTGCGAAATGCTGGCTGTGCAAACCCTTCCATGGCTGGATCATTCTTGTGTTTTTATTTTAAGTACAAAATAAATATGTATAACAAATTAAAAGTATGTAATTAGTAATTTGATATGTCGGGTGGCACCTTTTTTTATGTGTTCGCTCCCCCTGATGTTAGAACCTGGCTACGCCACTGGTCCCAGGTGCCTCGTCCCTGTTGGAACCGGGGGTCTTCAAGCATGAAAGATTCACGAAAGATCAGATGAGCTAATATCAAATGTCCCTAGCTCCATTGGTGTAATTGCACCAGTCTCCTCCAGCTGGTGTATATCGGCCATAGCTCCACAAGGGTGAGTGAAGAGGGGTCGTTGTTGCCCTGAGGGATTCACTTCTGGTGTCGCTGAAATTTTTTTCCATTGATAGACACAGAGAAGTTCCCTGATGTCTCCTAATCCAACCCCACGTGCACATGATCTTCTCAAACTGCCTTGATCCTTTTGCCAACGGCTCCCCTCCCTTCCCTCCACTTTGTCCCCACCCCAGGGCTCCAGGCCAGTCACTGGATCATTGGTCCCTCGGAAGGACTCCCCGGGCACAGACATCTTCCGCAACGACAGTGGAGACTGCATCGTCCGCTCCGACCTGGACTTCTACCTGCAGACAGAGCTCCTCGAGAACGGGCGCAACATCAAGATCCAGAGACTGCACCCTGCCTGCCGGGGTGGGGATCACTACATGGGCTGCGTGGGGGACCCCGATATCTACATCCTCAAAGGCGGCTCCTACCGGGTGGTGAAGGACCTGAGCATGGATGAGAAACCCCAGGTCTTTGACTTGCATCCCAGGTGCCGCAGCGGGGACCACTATGGGAAGACTGGTTCTCAATTCTTCATCATTTTCCAAAACCAGGGTGAAATGTGGTGGGTGACTGATTTGAGAACAGCTGAAGGTGAAAGAAACGTCGTCCTGCACTCCGAATGCACAAAGGGGCTTTACTACTTTGGGATCGGTTACTTCCTAACCCTGATCCAGGTGGACGAGAAGTGGGGGGCTCAGTTCTACTTGTACAATGAGATGAGTTCTGCCAGCCTCAATTCCGTCTACTCCATCCACCCTGACGTGCTGAACTTCTTCCCCAGGGGGGTGACCCTCACCGAGGGCATCTTCTCTGCCGGCTGGGAGTGCATCAAGATCCTGTAAATGGCTCCGACTCCCCCATCACCTGGTCCGACAAGGTCACCCACAAGGTGGGCTTTGCTAAGGAGATGTCCAGCATTGAGCACAACTGGAGCATCTCTGCTGAGATGTCCATTAAGGCCGGAAAACT